TTTTTTTTTTTTTTTTTTTTTTTTTCCCCGTATACATCCACCATCGGGAAATGAAAACTGTTGTGTTTTTTTTTTCTCACGTCACAAGCCAAGGCTCAAAATATATTGTAAAAATATTTTACGTCGGTGTACTTTACAGCACCTCAGCTATACCAAAACCAAAACGACTCGATAAACTTTGTTTCGACCTGCTTGTACCGACGACCACTGTTAGAAAAGGGCTTATGAAATTCAATGAAAACGATTCGGAAGCACATAATCATTATGAAGCAAAATTAACGAGAAATTATAAAAATTAATACTTCAACTTGTAGAATTTAATACAATGTTCCGTGAAGTTTCACATGTTTCCTATGAAATGTTAAAACAGCGTATATATTAACTTGAAATTTAACATACAAACAGGCTCTTACAACTATCTCTTGGGTGGTTCCAACAGTTAAGCCTCGGCAAAAGCTGAGACGAGGCGAAAAACCAAACAAACCGGCCGATCTCGCGGGCGCGCCTAGTTTCAAGGTCTCTGGGAGGAAGGAAAAGACAAAGGGGGGTGTACATACATGTATATATCCCCTGTCGATCGAAGGGGGGAAAAAGTAAAGCCACGATTTACGGTCCTGGAAACTGTGTCAATAATCCCGGGTGTCGGTTACGTGAGTCCGGGGAGGTGTGTAAGTACAGGCCGCGCGAATTGAAACGGCGCTTACGCAACCCCCGGTTTCGCAAGCTAATCGCCAGCTCTCCCTCTCGATCAATACGCGGGCTTGGGGTGTTTTTGGGAGGAAGGGCTGCTTGGTTGTTTTTTTTTTTTTTTCCGCACCGATCGTCGGGAAGGAAAATTTTGCGCAACGAGCTCGAGATCGCGCGGGCAATGATCAATAATAAAACCAAACGAGTAGGAAACGATTGCTCGATTATGCAGCGAGTGTAAGAGGCGCGAGCCAATCTCGGCCACTTGTGCCTAATTTTGCGGCATGAAGGGAGAAAAAGAGATGGATGGTGTTTGTCGTTGCGCGCGTGCGAGTAGTATAGCGGTTGATTCGGTCAGACATTGGGTTGGCGGTTGTTGTTGTTTTTTTTTTTTCGGGGTGGTTCGCGTTGGGTATTTTTTAAAAGTGGAAACCGATCTTTCGTGCGTTTCTTTTTTTTTTTTTATATATAATCAAGAAGCGTGATGGAAACTTTTTTTATTTTTTTATTTTTTTGTTATCGTGTATAGGTATACGATTAATCGTAATGGTGGTGATAAAAACTATGCGTGACTATTGTACTATCTATACACGCTAGTGGAGTATGTTTCATCTTGTCATTGAAGTATTTGAGTTTGTTCAAATGCTCGAGCGAAAAAAATTATCAAAGTAGGGACGATGATTAATTTGTTTTCAAACGACGAAACAAGCGTGACTTGAAATTTTTTTTCATCCTTCGTCGATCGATGCAAGTATACACTGAGGGGAATAAATAATAAAAATTATAGAGAAACTCCAGCAAAAATTACCACTTTGCATAGTAAATTGGATGCAAACTGATAGAAAAAAAGGAAAAATTTATTATTTTTAACTGTTAAAACAATAATTATCTTTACTGTTAAACATAAAAACTTTACCCTTTTTTTTCTATCAGCTTGCATCCGATTTATCGTGCGGAATGGTAATTTTTTTGAGGTAAATCAATCGTAAGTAATTTAGGTAAAACTGTTGTAACAAAAAATTATAAAAAGTATTTGATGAAATAAAAAAAAACAAATTGTTTCCTATTATCAAAATAAAATTGCAAAATAATGTAACTCGACTATTATTTATTATAGCGATTTCGTTAAAATTGTACCTTTTTCACTTAAAACCGGATAAAAATAAAAATGAAAATTACCACGTATTCGGAAACGTTAAGACACACTTGGATTACGTTGATTATGTTTTATTGCTATCCTCTCGGGAGCAAATCCCCTTACTTAAAGTCAGCACAAAAGCATTTGGTGGATACAATGCACGATCGGAAAAAAAAAAAAAAAAAAAAAAAAAAAAAAAAAAAGATTAAAGAAACCGATTGACACGCACATACATCAATGTCGTATCGTTTGTCATGTTCAACATTCCTCGGAACAGTAATAGTTTACGCTTGGCTGGAGTGCGCCTTTGTATGCCTATGTACACGAAAAAAAAAAAAAAAGCTTTTTATCAGCCAGTTCCGATAAGGTTCTTTGTTGTTACTCAATATCATTACTCGCATTCCACAAACCATCAGCTGAACAATCAAGTTTGTACATCCTCTTAATTTTTAGGAATCGCTGAGAAAACGTACCCACGTGAAAATGATAATTGATTTTATTTTCTTCTGTTATTCATTGAACAATTTTTTTTTTTTTTTAAGGCCTCGAGTGTCTTGACACGTCTCTTATTTACGGGCATTAACTATTCAAACTAGTCCAAGTGTGTAAGGTTCTGGAGTGCAACGATAACATTTGTTTTTCCATAAATATTAACATTTACAATAACGTTTTCAGCAATTCAATATCAAGGTTGATAAAAATAATTTGGTTCATGAGATAAAGCTTAATCGTTCCGTCATGCCTAAAAAATATAGATGCTAACAATCTACAACTCAAAAACGCATTTTAACAAATCACTGAAAAATTAACGCGATTGATTAAACAGTTTGTAAATTGATTTTCGTTTCATGACACTTAAATTTTTTTTTTTTTTTTTTCATTGTTACGAAAATTGATGTCTCATAGCGCGAGGTGAATTTTCGTTACTAGTCTTTTGTACGTTTTTATCTTTCACTTAATGACCTCACGTCTCGTTAAATAATAAACGTGAAATAATGTTCGACAGCTTACAAAAACTCTCGGAAAATAAATCAGAGTTTGACTCCTAGATAAGATTAAAATTTTGAGTAGAATTACTTTAAGCTCAAAAAGTATGTACGTTTGAAGAAAGAAAAAAAAATTAACTTGTGTCAAAAAAACAGATTTACTTTGGAAAACGAGAGGCAATAAACTGCGATATCGGCTAGTCAAGTTGTCAGTATGTTTTTTACATAACTATCAATAAAAGTTCAAGTATTCATTTAAGATTTTTGTCGGTGATTGTCAATCTATGGTTGAGTTTAACGTAAGGATATTGACAGTGAATACTGGAACATTTTTTTTTTTGTATGTATCACAAAAAATATATTGTGGCTAACCGTTATAATTATAAATAAAAAAAGTAATTTGTATGGACTTTTCTTGTTAAATTACTCGTACACATTTCAAAGTTCAATTAATAAAAGTGAAGTAATAAAATTGAAGTTCATCAAATCAATAGAAAATGTTTGAAAAATGTATTTTAAGAATCTTTTACTTTTATAAGCTTAAATATTTTTTCATAACCTTCTTCGTCATACTACTGGTCTAATTTTACATTTTAATTACAGATTTGAAATATCCTAATCACGTACTAACAAATTGCTCGTAATCTAATTATTGTAAAAAAAGATTAAACTTTATTAAACTATTATATTGATACAATACGTGTTATGAGTAATTAAAACAAAATAATTAAATAATTATAAAAATAATTGTCAATTACTGCTCCCTTTAATTTCGTAAATAATGAAAAAAAAAAAAATAAATAAAAACTATTAGATACCGTTGTACAGTGAAAACCCGTCGCTCAGCAATTTCGACTGACTATAACTTCAAAATAATAACACATGTCTTTATTTACCCCATATCGACACTTGAGAAAAACCAGTAGTTTTTGTCTTCCCCCAGCAANAAAAAAATAAATAAAAACTATTAGATACCGTTGTACAGTGAAAACCCGTCGCTCAGCAATTTCGACTGACTATAACTTCAAAATAATAACACATGTCTTTATTTACCCCATATCGACACTTGAGAAAAACCAGTAGTTTTTGTCTTCACCCAACAACTTTCAAGTTTGTTTATTCAACAGTTATGCAAGAAATTCTATAAAATTCCAATAAAAAAAATAAAAAAAACCGATTGTTTGACAATAATTGATTAATCAGCCTACTTGTTTTCTTAACATTTACCAAAATTCCCAACAATTGAACGCTCCAACGCTCTAGTCATGCGCCGTTTAACCCATGAATAATCGAATGACCAACCTTTAATACAATTCCAGTGAAAATGCCAAGCGACGTCCAAGTCCGATCGACGGAAGCGAATACACCTCAGCTCCGCCGATGGTGCCTCGTCAACCACATCGTTTCCTCCAACAAAATCCGGATGCTGTTTATACTTTATTTTCTATTGATTAACGTTTACTTTTTCCTCCTGTGAGTAAAATTGTGGAGGGGGAGGAAAAAAAAAAAAAAACACTTTGCACACGCGATTTCCGTCGCTTCGTTCGAAACCGATTGCAACGCGTCCGAAGAAACAGGAGCAGCCGAAGCGCGAGCGCACTCCGATAACAGAGCAATAGTACACGCGGCGAGCCGACGGCCACGTATAAATGCTCCCTCTCTCCCGCGGGGGCTTTGCGCGAGCGCCAACCGATTTCCTCCTCCTTTTCCTCTTTCTCTCTCTCCCTCTGCGCTCTCAATTTTTCTCCTTCTTCTTCGTTGGTGCGTGTACGTGGGCTCACACACGTTGTAAACAGATCGCTCGGGAGGAGACCGGTTTAGGGATGGATACGGTTTTGGGGAGAGCCGATTTTTTTTTTTTTCATAAGGGAACACTACACTTTGAGGGAGAGTGTAATTTAATCCTACATATACAATTGGGAGGTGATTCGAGGTCTGTATTACAGTGTGTACGTAAATATTGCTGACGTTGAAAATTGAAAAATAAAATATGAATCGTGACCAATGACTCACGGCTAAATGTGTGTAAACGTACTCACTGTATACAATTGGGATTCACAAAAATGTACCTCGTGATTTTTTTCCGATTTAAATCCTACTTACTTGTACATCTGATAATTAACCGCGAGAAAAATGAAAAAAAAAAAAAAAATCAAGCTCTGTCACGCGTTATTAATTTGTGAGAATAGGGAACCTTCGCGGAATATGACTGATTACTCCTTTCCTCGTGACTCATCAATTAAAGCCAACGGAATTGAGTTTCTCGGAACTGTGCACTTATTACACGGTTTATTGACAACAATGTAGCGCGAAAACCGTAAGGACCGACAAAACTAGACCAAGTACGAAAAGCGTTGAACGGAAAAGAGATGGGCCGGGAGGTAACGGGGGTCGTTGATTACAATTAAGTTATGATGTCCGTGTTTGTACTCGGTCGGGACAGCGTAGCTTTTGTTTTTAAGTTCATTCACGTTCGGTTGAGGTGTGTGTGATACTCCTCTCAAAACAGACTCGAAGATACGAGGCCTCGAAAGCAAACAATAATAATTTTAATCGGCACGTGAGCCGTACGTTATTGTTGACGTTACTTTATTTATTTATATATTTATTATTTTTTTTTTTTTATTGTAATAAGAATCACTGCTTTATCAAGTTACGTGAGACGTGGCCGTATAATAAATTTTAACTGTTAGTCACGAATATCAGTTGTAAATTGTTCATTTAATAAATAGCAAAAAAAAGGTAAAGTGTTTTACAATTATATTTAGGATTCCAATGGATCTCTTTAACCTCGAAAATTTTTTTTTATAATCGTTAGCGATTGAAGGAAAAATAAATAAATAAACAAAAACAGCAAACAAAATACCGCACAGCTTTTACTTTAACCGATTTCAAGGCGACGAAAAACATCAAGAGAAAGCAGACATTGATTCGCGTTAAAACACTTTGGAATGCACGTACGGATAATTGCACTTTGGACTTTGGTATTTGCACAAATACACACACGTGCGTGAAAATTCCTTTTTTTTTCTTCTTCATTTCATTTTAGAAAACTCATGTGATTTCCTGCTGTTTAATCACGTGATCGCAAACATATTAATTTTCATTGTCAACTAGTGGATAGTCAATTATCCTTTGCTACGATCGCAACAAAGTAGCCGGTAATGTTACGAAACAATCGTTTTGTTTTTAATTTTTCATCTAAAAATAATTTCCACGCTTTAAACATCGAACGAAGGTTTGCAATTTGTTGTAATTTTGGAGAAAAAAAAAATAAAACATAATCTGCTTCAATTTCACGTTTTTTATTACTAGTTATATCGAACGTACTTCGCGCGATCTATGTTATCACCACTGCTTTTATAGTTGTAAATATTTTCATACTTTGTCATTTAGTAAGAGTATACAAGCAAGAGTATTAAATTTTGCTTATACTTTTTTTCATTTTTCATTTTTGCAAACGACCTACTACATCTTAACTATACANAATAATTTAGAAAAAAACTAAAATTAATACGGTGTATATTGGGGACATTACAAAGTTACAGCTATGTCAATGAGTCATAATTTTATTTCATATTAACTAAAAAGAAATAAAGTTGTTAGTCTAATTGCTCCCATTTTGATATTACATTAAATACCATTATTTTTTGAAAATCTGCCAAACAAACTACGTGATCCATAAACTAATCACATAACGAATAAAAAGGCACCAGTAACGTGATAATATTTTAAGGTAAGATTTTTAAAAATTTTGAGCAGTCTCACACTGAAAAAAAAAAAAAAAAAAGGATTTTTTTTTTTTTCTTTTTTTTAAAGGACATGAGTTAATCTGTAGTTTCTTGGTACACGCAGAAAAAAAAATTCTTAGAATCAAGAAAATATTTTTTAGGATATAAGATTTCTGTCTTAACATACTTAGATTTTCCGTTTTAAAAGAATAATTGAGATTGTGGTCCTAAATATTTTCTGGAATTAAGTATTTTTTTAAGAGTAGTAATAATTATATGTAGGTAATAAATTCCATCTCGGTTATTATCCTAGTAATACGTGAAAAAAGGAAAACTGTCATATGTGATCGGGAAAACTGAAAGATCGTGTGCCAACCTTCCTTATTTCGACGTCAGTGGTGAACACCCAGTTTTACGAAAAAGCTCGCGATTTCCTCCTTCCTTTTGGGATCGTCAAGAATGAAGAATCAAAAAAAAAAAAAAAAAAGACTAAACTGCACTAAATGCATCTGACTCACGTAGCATAACTTACCGATCTGGTCCTACACGCAAACAATTTTTTTTGCAAGAGGCATCGGATCAAATGCCACAAAAGGATTCGCTGGTACCTAATAAATATTCGACGAGATAAAACGGAAGAGATCTTGCATTTTTATCGTCACGAGGCACGTCGATTATTTTATTTTCGGACAAAATATTTCACAAGGCGCCAAAAGTCGCCTGATTTTTGTCGTGCCGTGGCAGATTTTTCATTTTAATTATTCAAAAATATCACTTATTAGAAATTGTACAGTTGTTTCAAAAAAAAAAAAAAAAAAAAAAATTATGCACGTTTTTTTCTAAAGAAGAAAATAAAAAATCGGCTCCTTGGACTTTTTAGTGAAAAAAAAATGTTTTAAAAAAATCGATTTTGGCCCACTGAGCGAAGATCTTTCCTCGTAACCTTTCCGATGAAAAATCGGTAATTCTGACACTATCTATTTACGATACTGTTTCTTTTTTTTTTCCGTTATTTTTGTAATTCCTTCGTAACGTGGGGAACGCGGAAAAATCGACCACTCGTCCCTCAAAGGATCGCTGACTCACATGGCGCGTTTTCTAACTACCAATGCTTGCCGATTTTATCGCGCGCGGGAGTCATTACCGATTGCGTTACGCGTTATGTCACGAGATCGGAGATCTCTTATCTTTGTCGGAACGAAAGAGAGTACGTATAATTAGATCGTTAGAAGGTATTTGAGATCGGTATTGAAGTTTTCAGGCGTGCTTTTTCCAAGTGTGTAATAAAAAAAAAAAAAAAAACTTCATGCACCGATGTATTGCAAGGAAATCGATTCGACATTTTTCGAATTTTCCTTGTGATTTTTCACTATAGTTTTTATTTATTTTTTTATTATTTTTTTTTTGTTTCACTTAAATACTATAAACAACTTTGAAGATCGGAAATCATAGGTATTACGTAAAATTCGGAAACCAGTATGCGGAGACTCGATTCTCGAACCAACGCCACCGATCGAGCACCACATAAAACCGATCTTGGTCACGATATTACATACTGAAACGAAAATTTCATCGATCCAAATGAACGTTTATTTGAATGCAAAAAAAAAATAACGTTTATTTGCATAAAATTAATATTAACTACTAATAGTTAATATACATTAAATATCATGTTATAAAAAAATAATTTATTTGATGTAGATTAATACTGTTTGATTTAAAGAAATACGTATTTTGTTCAAAAAAATATTTTTTTGTTTGTATTCAAATAAACGCGTATTTGAATCAACAAAATTTTCGTTTCCAGTGCAGTGCGCGAAAACCTCCATCTCGACTTCATCGTCACTAAACCAACTTTTTCGCGAAAAAAAAAAAAAAAAAAGAAAAAAACGTTTTTTGAAAAACCGCAGCAGCAAGTAGACGAAACGAGGGATCCGCTTCACTGGCTCGTATAATATAAACGCACGTGACTCTCAATACGAACGATCGAGAGCAGAGTGGATAAATCGATCAATAAAAAGAAGAAAAAAAAAGATCGGCTAGAGGAAGAGCAGTCACGCGCTCCAAAGAACAGTACAGAGGGAGAGAGAGGAAAAACAGGTTTGGCGCTCGTATCGCGTATGCATACCTGCACACGGGGGAGGGAGGGAGGGAGGATCCTGAATAGCAGTCACGAGGAGGTGTGCAGGCCAATTAAAAGGCGGGGCCCGGAAAAACGAAGCCAGGAAACACTTGCACGCCTGCGTTTCGAGTCACGGGACCCACGCGCGTTTCTTTTCTTCTTTTTCATCCACACTTTTTCTTCCTTTCCCTCCTTCTCTTTTGGCATGCACAGGCAAAACCCGGCGTCGCCTCTTCTTTCGCACATACAACCCAAGACTTTACAAGGCGCGTAAACAAAATTAATACAAAGTCTCTACGCGTGTGTGTGTGTGTGTGCGAGGCTCAATTCGACGTCCCGAGGATGCGTGCCGATCTTTTTATCTCCCGGTCGTTGACTGCGCTCCCGTTTTTAGTACTCCTTTTTTTTTTTTTTTTCTCTCTCGAGTTTTGTCGATGCGCCCGAGGCGAATTTCAATAATTTGCAATGACGCGCGCCGAGTGTATTTTGCGATTTAATAGGTCGCGTGTCTAGTTGGTCTCGTGATTGTAATCACCGCGAGTCGCGTAATTTTACCGCGATCTTTTTTCGCAGCGATACTGATCTCTCGGACCGGCGATGCGCGTCGGAAGATCGGTTGGATTTTTCGATGGTTAATATTTTTTTTTACTGTTCAACGTAAATTTTTTCCTGTATTTGTGTGAACAATTCAAACTTACCTTCCTTTATTTCAATTGAAACTTGATGGCCTCATAATTTATCGCCCTTATTTTTGTTGGGAAGAATTTTTGGTGAAAACTGCGTTACAACTGTAGTTGTACGAAAAAAATTAGTCAATTAAATTTTCAAGAAAAATATTGTAAAATAATTTAAAATGTGAATATTTAAAATATTAAGCTAAGGGTATAATACTAAAAAAATAAAATAAAGCGCGTCCGAGTAAGTTTTGAAAACGTGCGGTTGGCTTAAAAATAGTCTCCACAATTAGCATATTTCAAATTTGCTGGTCGATACCGTGATTCACGCGTTGCCGATTTCTCTGTTTCTTTCAGCGCGCATCGGTTGGGTGACTCTGCTTGGATCGCGTTTCTTGTCTCATCCACGAAAGCGCGTGACTCTCTCCACAAGTGTCACGTTTCTCTTTGTCGTTTCCTCTTTTTACATCCTCGTGTTTATTGTCTTTTTTTTTGCTTACGTCTGTCTTTTTGGTTTCGACGAAACATCGAGATTTTCAATTCTAGAGTCGATGAAACGAAATTAGGTATACACAGAAGCTAATAGTACCTGCTTTTGAACGCACCATAAAATGCATATACACGAATAAAAAAAAAAAAAATCATCATTTACATTGGGGCAAAAAGTGAGCTTATGGTCGCGTTCACCATAATTGCAGTACAACGAAAAAGCGCGGTCACGCGATACAAGCTTCACTCGGAATGACAATAACACTATCCGTTTCATACGTATATTATACACACCGCACGCGCCTCGTATATACACGTATACACCAATACATGTATGTATGTATCAAGTATCAAACGCACATTTTTTGTCCTTCCTCCCTTCGTGTGTATACCCCACTAATCCACGTCCACGCATATACAGCGACAAAGAGCTTTGCTCGTACAATGTATACGCAAGTCAAACAAAAATATACGGTGCAAGGGAGAGAGATACGCCGGAAACACACAAGCGGGTGGAAAATATATTGTAAGGTAGTTATACGCGAAGCGCGGGGCTGTGCACCGGACACGGTGAGCGTGTATGTACGATACCAAACGTTGGTCCACAGCGTCGAAAAATCCCAGCTTGACGTGTCGGTCCTTTTTTACCTTATACCGATGACAATCCTCGTCCATACAAGATAAACAAAGAGATATCATGACGGTGGGACGGACAAGTGAAGCGAGTGACAAAAAGCGTTTAATTTTTCTTCTTCTTCCTTTACCCAATGAGCGAAGGTTCCCTCGAGTAAAAGCTCCTCCGTGCCCCCCTCCGGCTACTGGCATTTAATTAATTGCCACCGACGCATCGAAGGGCTTCCTCTTTTCTCGCTATGTCGACAGTCGGCTAATTGATCGAGCTCTCCCCTCCTTCTCTTGCCCAGCCAACCTCCGCTGCAGGCTTCCCTCTCTATTCGTCGATGGCCGAGTTCCTAACTCATCGTTGTACTTGCTCGTTACCTCACATACGTATACTCGTGATTATTGAAATCATCAATGTCCCTCATTAAAATCGACAAGGGCGTAACTGTACACTTGTTACGTTTGCTCCAAACGAATCGAGTCGATGATTGGCCTCCCTTACTTTTCATCTCGCAGTTTGCAAACACCACGATACCTCTGGACCGTCACTTGGAATATTGCCCTTTGCATACTCCAACTCTCTCTCTCTCCCTTGCCANAGAAATATTTTTTTTACTATTTATACTAGACACTTACTAAAGCCTGAACAATTAGTTTAATACTGGAAATAATACTTAGATAGTCTACTGTAGCCCATGTCTCCGTGAATAATGCAGATATTGCGAAATTAGCTGTTTTCGAATCAACAAAAATCATAAATTATTTTTTTTTCATTTTCTGTAAGCTAGACAATAGCCAACGCTTTGTTAATCATTTATTCGATTTAAATAGCTTTCTAAACAACCTACTACATCATGACAAAGCTCTACAAAGCAAGGTACTCTCCAAAATTCGTTATTTATAGTTAAAAAAAAAGCTAAAACTTTAAACGCCTATAACTCTGTAAATAATATAGATATATCATGAAATTAGCTACTTATTACCTACATAATAATTTGTATAATATTCTATAATATCCAAGCACCACAATCATTTTATGAAATTACACAATGTATTTTTCCACCAATCGATATTATTTCGTATACTTTTTTAAATAGAACAAAAGATTCACATGCTAACAAAATTTTATATGAACATTCGAATGTCTCTGATGGTTTAATAATTTTCATTTCTATAAAAGTTTCCTTCGGACATAAATTTTTGAACGTTTTCGGAGCATTTCGAGAACATTCCATCGGCGATAAAACAGTTTTAAGGCGTAGAAAAAATAATATCTATTATTACACTATTAACGATATCTAGTTTGTATCTCTGGCCTATTGACAACGAGGCGACATTCGAAAAGCACGACGTAGTTACTTTTTTAAATTCAGAGCACTTCTAGTTGAAAATTCTGTAATGATAGTTGATAATTAATTAGTGCCAAATACGTAATATTAACATATTTTTTGTTACACGAATCGAGTTCCATACAGTTGGTACATCATATCGGCTATTCGATAAACAATAACGAAGACAATTTATTAGGGATAACTACTTTACAACCTCCCACTGCTATTAGAAGGTGAGTATTTGGAGGAAACGAAAATATTTGCCATTTATCCACCATATTTTACATTCACTCGAAATGAAGTGAAGTAACAAGTAGTATTTCGAAATACCACCAGCGTATTCCATGGATAGTATAGCTAACAACATTCGTTTGTTCTCCTGCAGCGTGGAAACCCCATTTGAACTAATTTGGACGTCAATCATATACGGATCCCAGTAAAATAAGATGGACAGTGGTTGCTCGCAGAATCCACAACGGCGGAAAAGGTCCCATCGTTGCGACGTGTGCGAAAAATATTTTGCGTCCTCGAACCAGGTGAAAACCCACGCGAGGTTCCACACTGGGGAGAAGCCCTTCCAGTGCTCGGAGTGTCAGCGAGGGTTCAGCCAGAAAAGCGATCTCACGAGACACGTGAGGATCCATACAGGGGAGAAGCCCCACAAGTGCTGGGTTTGCATGCAAAGTTTCAGACTAAAGTCCCACTTGACGAACCACATGGGCACCCACACCGTAGAACGGCCCCACAAGTGCTCAGTTTGTCCACAAGCATTTGGTACTGCAGGTAGTCTCGTGAGGCATATGAGGACCCATACTGGGGAGAAGCCCCACAAGTGCTCGGTTTGTCCACAAGCATTTGGTACTGCAAGTAGTCTCGTGAGGCATATGAGGACCCATACTGGGGAGAAGCCCCACAAGTGCTCGGTTTGTCCACAAGCATTTGGTACTGCAGGTAGTCTCGTGAGGCATATGAGGACCCATACTGGGGAGAAGCCCCACAAGTGTATGGTGTGTTCACGGGAGTTCAGCCAAAGTAGTCATCTGGCAAGCCACGGAAGGACCCATACTGGGGAGAAGCCCCACAAGTGCTCGGTTTGTCCACAAGCTTTTGCTACTGCAAGTAGTCTCGTGAGGCATATGAGGACCCATACTGGGGAGAAGCCCCACAAGTGCTCGGTTTGTCCACAAGCATTTGGTACTGCAGGTAGTCTCGTGAGGCATATGAGGACCCATACTGGGGAGAAGCCCCACAAGTGCTCGGTTTGTCCACAAGCATTTGGTACTGCAAGTAGTCTCGTGAGGCATATGAGGACCCATACTGGGGAGAAGCCCCACAAGTGCTCGGTTTGTCCACAAGCATTTGGTACTGCAAGTAGTCTCGTGAGGCATATGAGGACCCATACTGGGGAGAAGCCCCACAAGTGCTCGGTTTGTCCACAAGCATTTGGTACTGCAAGTAGTCTCGTGAGGCATATGAGGACCCATACTGGGGAGAAGCCCCACAAGTGCTCGGTTTGTCCACAAGCATTTGGTACTGCAAGTAGTCTCGTGAGGCATATGAGGACCCATACTGGGGAGAAGCCCCACAAGTGCTCGGTTTGTCCACAAGCATTTGGTACTGCAAGTAGTCTCGTGAGGCATATGAGGACCCATACTGGGGAGAAGCCCCACAAGTGCTCGGTTTGTCCACAAGCATTTGGTACTGCAAGTAGTCTCGTGAGGCATATGAGGACCCATACTGGGGAGAAGCCCCACAAGTGCTCGGTTTGTCCACAAGCATTTGGTACTGCAAGTAGTCTCGTGAGGCATATGAGGACCCATACTGGGGAGAAGCCCCACAAGTGCTCGGTTTGTCCACAAGCATTTGGTACTGCAAGTAGTCTCGTGAGGCATATGAGGACCCATACTGGGGAGAAGCCCCACAAGTGCTCGGTTTGTCCACAAGCATTTGGTACTGCAAGTAGTCTCGTGAGGCATATGAGGACCCATACTGGGGAGAAGCCCCACAAGTGCTCGGTTTGTCCACAAGCATTTGGTACTGCAAGTAGTCTCGTGAGGCATATGAGGACCCATACTGGGGAGAAGCCCCACAAGTGCTCGGTTTGTCCACAAGCATTTGGTACTGCAAGTAGTCTCGTGAGGCATATGAGGACCCATACTGGGGAGAAGCCCCACAAGTGCTCGGTTTGTCCACAAGCATTTGGTACTGCAAGTAGTCTCGTGAGGCATATGAGGACCCATACTGGGGAGAAGCCCCACAAGTGCTCGGTTTGTCCACAAGCATTTGGTACTGCAAGTAGTCTCGTGAGGCATATGAGGACCCATACTGGGGAGAAGCCCCACAAGTGCTCGGTTTGTCCACAAGCATTTGGTACTGCAAGTAGTCTCGTGAGGCATATGAGGACCCATACTGGGGAGAAGCCCCACAAGTGCTCGGTTTGTCCACAAGCATTTGGTACTGCAAGTAGTCTCGTGAGGCATATGAGGACCCATACTGGGGAGAAGCCCCACAAGTGCTCGGNAGTTTTAAAATGTCTCTTTATGGAAATAAAAAAAAATTAATCCATATTTCAATATAACGAAATAAATTTCAAAAATTTTTCGACGAAACTGTTATCATCTAACGTGATTGTTTGCACGTACACAAAAACAATTTTATCAGACAAAAAGATAATTAACCATGAAAGCTATTCTAATTAAAATTTTTAACTAAAAATTCAACTGATCTGTCCAAAGTTTTCATGTTTGGGTAACAATTTTTTCTAAATAGATGAAAAAAACTATGCCGAACAATAAGTGAAAGAGGACTTTTTGATGACTTCTTCTGAATTTTCTCAATGTCATATTCTAACCAACGATTTGCTAACAAAGAAAATTTTTTTTTGTTAAAAACCTTCATTATTATGCTATTAACGATTTCTCACATTTAATTTTAACTATCGGTAAGTTGATGACACATAGTAACAGTCTCTTCTTGTCCACGTAAGCGCATGGACACACAAATTTTAACTCAATAAATGTGATTCTTCGTGAAAATTTTTGTAACTATTTTCCATTAACAATATGTACATCTATTTTACTTATTTAAAACAATATATTTTTCAACTGATCTATTTGAACTTTGACGCCCTTTGTTCAACGAAAAAACTCCAAAGACAGTTGATTTAGAAAAAAAAAATTTTTTTTCCTCCAGTGATTTTACAATTATTGAATCTCTTCGTTGGGTGGTGAGTACGAAACTAAAATCAACATATTTTTAATTTTGCCAATGAAGTATTTAGTACGCAATGATTACCTATAGAATTAGGCAACTATAATGAACACGTTAAAAAAAAAATTGAAATAAAATTAGAGTAAAGCCAAAATAGTTGACGAAATAATTCATTTTTATTTTCCACAGTGAAAAGGAGTTTCAACGACGGTAGCAACATCTAAAAAAAAATTCCCTGCAAAAACCATAAAAGCTATATTCTAGAGAGCAAATATTACCTGAAATATCCGGGTCAAATCGACTTCATAAAGTATAAGATGAACACTGGTTGCAACCAAAGTCAGCAAAGTTGCAGTGCTAACGAAACGCGGTGCGAAAGATCCCATCGTTGCCACGTGTGTAAAAAAAATTTGGTCCCCTCGAGTACCCACACCGCAGAACGGCCCCACAAGTGCCAAACGTGTCCACAAGCATTTGGTACTGCAGATAGTCTGGCGAGGCATATGAGGACCCATACAGGGGAGAAGCCCCACAAGTGTATGGTGTGTTCACGGGAGTTCAGCCAAAGTAGTCATCTGGCAATCCACGTGAGGATCCATACAGGGGAGAAGCCCCACAAGTGCTGGGTTTGCATGCAAAGTTTCAGACTAAAGTCCCACTTGACGAACCACATGGGCAACCACACCGCAGAACGGCCCCACAAGTGCCAAACGTGTCCACAAGCATTTGGTACTGCAGGTTATCTCGTGAGGCATATGAGGACCCATACAGGGGAGAAGCCCCACAAGTGCTCGGTTTGTCCACAAGCATTTGGTACTGCAAGTAGTCTCGTGAGGCATATGAGGACCCATACTGGGGAGAAGCCCCACAAGTGCTCGGTTTGTCCACAAGCATTTGGTACTGCAAGTAGTCTCGTGAGGCATATGAGGACCCATACTGGGGAGAAGCCCCACAAGTGCTCGGTTTGTCCACAAGCATTTGGTACTGCAAGTAGTCTCGTGAGGCATATGAGGACCCATACTGGGGAGAAGCCCCACAAGTGCTCGGTTTGTCCACAAGCATTTGGTACTGCAAGTAGTCTCGTGAGGCATATGAGGACCCATACTGGGGAGAAGCCCCACAAGTGCTCGGTTTGTCCACAAGCATTTGGTACTGCAAGTAGTCTCGTGAGGCATATGAGGACCCATACTGGGGAGAAGC